ACAAGGTGGAACTCAACACTCCACATGCTGCAAAGGGCACTGGAAAAAAAAGCGTGCCCTTAACATCTACTCTGGGGAATATGGCAGTTTTAAATGTCCAGCTGCTCACTAGTGGAACATTGTGTCCAATTTGGTTGAAACACACATCCCGGAAGCGACACTAGAGGTGAGCTACAGTAATTCATCTGCGTCCAGTATCATTCCCTGCATGACAGTGCTCAAGATGCTACTTGAAGCTGAAGGGCCATCAACACAAGGCATCAGAATGCTCAGGGAGGTAATGAGGGAGAGCCTAATCAAACGATTCGCCAAACTTGAAGACTCAACAACTGTGGTTCTGGCATATCTTTTGGATCCACGTTATAAGAGTCATGCATTCTCCTCTGCCTCTACACTAAACAAGGCCAAAGAATGGCTTAAAGAAGATGTAGAAGGTGCTCTACAAGAGCAGGCTGAAACAGAGAGAGTCAATCAAGAGCAGCAGGCTGAAGGAGAGGAGCCCGCTGCACAAGACCAAGCCACTAAATGGCAAAGGAGAGAAGAGACACCCTGCCATAGCCAAATAGACAAGATCTTAATTTCTCTTTTTGGGCCCCACACTGGTGATCTGTTGGCCAAGGACATCATTGAGGATGAGTCACATCAGTACCTCAAAGAGCCAGTGATTGAAAGGAGTACAGTGATTCATCAGTCCCTCATCAGTCCCTAGTCTTCAGTGAAGTGTCAGCAATTTATGACAAGAGAAGAAGCAAGCTCACTGGAGAGCATGCCAAGCAGCTCTACTTCCTGCACCACAACCTGGCGCTGCTGGATTGGGACTACTAATTGTTAGCCATTTTATTAGCTTATAAAACTTCAGGGAGCTATTACATTTATTTTCCATAATTAGTTCATTTGTTGCTTGTTGTTTACATCAAGTTTTAATGTTTACAGAATGCTGCTGGGTGCTCCCTGCACTTTTTATGTTGTTATTATTATTAATATTAATGTTTATTTAATGTTATTATTAACAGTTCTCAGAATTAAAGATATGTTTAAAAGCATTTAAAGAACGTTTGTCAGAGCCCTTGTTGTAATTAATTTTTCCATAAATTGTCATTTTTACACCAGACATATATCGGTTCTCGGTCTACTTAATCTGTAATAATCGGTATCGGCCCTGAAAAACACATATCGGTCGACCCCTAATCACAACATTGATCGCACACGTCAAAGTTTGAGGAATGAAACCGATAAATCATTGTAATTTAGGAACAGAATCACGTTGGTGTTTGAATTGTGTTCACGATCCGAACTGAAAAGCTGGTGCAAACATCCACATCCGTATGATCAGATGCTTTAACTGCATTTTTCTCATCAAGTCATCTTGTGTAATTGAGAGGACAGTGTGCACAGTAACAGCACATTACGTTCATCTAAAACGCCACTCCCTGAAGTTAGGGAGGTATTGAATGTTTTAAAACGATGTACAATTGTTCAGGCATTTCTAACTTCTGTTTACCATAGAGCAAAGAAAAAAATAATTAAACTTTGCTGAGGGTAGGACACATCGAGATATTTTTTGTAATATCTTGATATAGTTTTTAGTGTTTACTATTATCATTTTGCATTATTGACAATATTTTCCTAATTAATGCTGTACAATTGCTCTGAATACTTAGGACCATGTGTTATTTCAGTTTTTCTTTTTTAATAAATCTGCATAAATGTCAACAATTCTGTGTTTTTCTGTCAATATGGGGTGCTGTGTGTACATTAATGAGGAAAAAAAATTAACTTAAATGATTTTAGCAAATGGCTGCAATATAACAAAGAGTGAAAAATTTAAGGGGGTCTGAATACTTTCCGTACCCACTGTATATATAAGGGGACTTGACTTGGCTTCATTGCCATGGCCACCTCTTCACGTTCATGTTTAAAAGTACTTCTCGTGTATTAAACTAAGTATCTGTACACATGACAGGAAGCAAAGCAAAACAAACAAACAAAAAAAATCACAAGAAAAGCTTGATGTTTAGCAGGAACTATACATTATTTAGGGTTATTTGTTAGGATATTGATCTAGGATCTGTTGTTAAGTAAGTTTCATTCATAATATTATAAAATATTTTCTGTATAAAATTTCATGTCAGTATTGTCCCTTATAACTGGTAGTATAACAATCCTACTGGCAGAGCTTAATCGTTATACAGAACTTTTCCATTTTATACGAAGTCGAAAAAAACCCTCCCTCATTTTGCTCATCTTGTGAGTGCACATTTCTCTGAACCTGCCGCCAATAACATAGAAACAAACGTGCAAATGTAACATTAACATAACTGTAATTTGAACGTAGCTTTTGTAAAAATATATAGCAAAACAAATGTGGGGGAAAAAAGTTGACTTACACATCCCTACTTAAGGCCAAACAATATTCGTCATTCGCTGATGTTTAACAGGAGTAATGATTAAACGTTGATAATTTTTCTTTGAGAGAAATTAGACCAACAATGACAATTACAACTTGCGCAACCGTGAAACATGTGTTAGAGTACTATGGGACCAAGTTGCAATTTTAACAGAGACAAAACAACTCAGTTGGCAACATATCATACACGGCGTGCATAGTCTGATGATACACGGGGCAACTTTGAGCAATTTTACTGGGCAACTTTTTTTGAGCAATGTTTCTTGGGCACTTTCCCATCGAGAACGGGAAACAAATTTCAATATGGATGCTTTAGATCAGTCGTGGGTCCTGTGTCTCACCTGGTTGCCTGTTGACGGCAACATTGCTCAAAAAGTTGCCCCGTGTATCATCAGCCTAACAGTAACCAATTAATTTTCACATATAGCCAGAAAACCCAAAACTTGCATGCAAATAAAGAAACAGGCATAGCACAGATTTGCATGTCTACACAAACATGTTTTTGATGATCCTAGAATCCTTTTTTAAATTTCAAATGAACTGGAATAAATTAATCCAAAGAATAAACCAGTTTGTTTGCTCCACAAATGGACTGCTGACAGTTCTCTGGCACAGATGTTTTAAAAACAAACAGGACGCAATATGAACTCACCGTCACTGACTTCAGCGTCATGCCGTGATAAGTTCCCATAGTGTCAATTTTGAAGCCCTCCGTTTCTGTAAAAAACAAACAAAAAAAGTTAGGTTTCTAAATCATTAACAGTTCCAATAAGCCTCAATTCCATTTTGGGGGACTTCATCATCATCATAAACAGATGATACACTTAACGATCTCTCCACAGATTCATCAACAATGACATGCTGGTTGTAACAATTACAATTTTCTGAATTTATTTTATTCTGATACATGTTACATCTTTTCTAAAAGTGCTACTTCTACATCTACAACTAAAAAGGAACTTTTTTTTTTTTTATTGTCTGCACAGGTATTTTCTGCATTACCAATTATTCATCATAAAGGTCAAAACTAAAGCCGATGAAATCCAACTTACCTTCTTTTCCTTTGAATCGCTCCTGATCGTATCTGTTGTAGGCAGCTGGGACTGGCTGTTTATTTCTTATTGCTGGATCCTATGGGACAAAAAAATTGGAGTGCATTAAAAAATATATAATAATAATAAGTCTATGTTAAGAAATAAAATATTTTTATTTTTGTTTGTTTCTCTTGACTAAATCACTTTAAGAAGGAATATATATTTAATTTACACGGTGAAGAATATGCAGTGTTTTTATACATTAGATTACTTTAAGTTGTATGTAGCATTTCTACTGTAGTTTTTTGTCCTATTGCTTGTAATTGGTTTCTTATTAATAATTTCTGAATTTATAAATACATACAGAAAAATATTTTTGAAGAGTGGCGACAGTTAATATTGGACAGATTTTGTAATGTAATATCATACACGTGCTTTATAACACAATCTTGAGATTTTGCGCTTATGGCCTTCATGCAGCTCACATTCTGCTGTCATTACAGTTTTTTTTAACAATCACTACAACCACAATTTCATTTTCAAATCTCTTCACACAGTGAGCACAACAGCAGTCTATGTGGGTTAAACTGTGGATCATTTATCATTGCTTTGGCACAAAATGCATTCAATGACTACAGCTTTCAAATTACATGAATTCTGCTCAGTCAGACACAAACACAGCCAAACTTTATGTACCCACAGGCAAATTTGCATGTTTATATACTCTTTTCTAAACTGTTAAACTAGGTTTGGGCGATATGGAGGGGAGAATAACATTTTTAAAAAATAGCAATTCTTCACATCAGTTGATATTGATAATTATCACTATAAATTTCCAATCTTTTTTCTTGCAAGTTTAAAGGCAGATTTTTGCTCCCAAGTGAAAGTTGCAGAAACCAGACCACATACAAAAAGATTTTATCTATACAAATTGGGAATAATTTGACTATAATGTAAACATGGACAATGTAGCATATACTGCAGTGAATTCCAATTCATAGAGTACGTCATTCTTGTTTGGTAATGAAATTTTACAGAAGAAAACACTGTAAAATGCTATCTGGTGTTAGTGTTTTTTAGGTCATTATTTTATGAGTGAAAAAGTGTTTGTTGGTTGAAAACCTTTGCTAGTGTTTTGGAAGAATGGCTTGATTTGAGATGTATAAAGTGTTTTGTTGGTTTATGGCAGATTTAAAATGTAAAATTAACTGCTGTGCAAAGATGAAACTTGGTTAGGAGAGCTGTTTGAAGAGTTTTGAAAAAAAAATTGTTAAGTTTCCTAGCAATTGTTCAAAAAACATCATTTTAATATTCAGCTGATAAGGAAACAGAAAGCACAAACATTCACACACACTAATAAAGCGGCTTTGTTGTGTACTCACCACCTGAGTTTGGTTCTGGGTCTGTCTCTGTTCAGGGGCCCGACCTTCCTCCCGCGCCTTCACTGATTGTAGGATGGCAAATATATTTTTGGAGAAATTCTACAAATCAAAAGATCATCATGTTCAGGAGTTCATATTCTTTAAATATAGCTAACATTTACCTTCTTTTGTGCACAATTGATTTTAAAAGAAAGTATAGCAGGGAAGAAAAACAAACAAACATCACAAACATGACTTTTAACCAAGTTGCAAGTTAACCAACCATTCAAAATCTAACCGTAACAATAAGCCACACAAGAAAACAGCTGTTTGATCAATGAAACACCACCACCTGCAGGCCAACTGTTTTATATTTCACAACCACCAAAACACTAGTTACAACAAGTGTAAAATCTATGTGTACATCATTTTAATTAGGCAATAAACAGTTAAAAAAAATTCTAGTGCTGTCAAACGATTAATCGCCATCGCATCCAAAATAAAAGTTTTTGTTCACATAATAAACGTATGTGTACAACATTTACATTTAGTCATTTAGCAGACGCTTTTATCCAAAGCGACTTACAAATGAGGACAATAAAAGCAGTCAAAACTAACAAAAGAGTAACAATATATAAGTGCAAATGACAAGTCTCGGTTAGCCTAACGCAGTACATGTAGCAAGGTATATATACAGTATCTCACAGAAGTGAGTACAACCCTCACATTTTCGTAAATATTTGATTATATCTTTTCATGTGACAACACTGAAGAAATGACACTTTGCTACAATATAAAGTAGTGAGTGTACAGCTACAGCTACAGTATAACAGTGTAAATTGCTGTCCCCTCAAAATAACTCAACACAGAGCCATTAATGTCTAAACCGCTGGCCACAAAAGTGAGTACACCCCTAAGTGAAAGTGTCCAAATTGGGCCCAATTAGCCATTTTCTCTCCCCGGTGTCATGTGACTCAGTGTTACAATGTCTCAGGTGTGAATGGGGAGCAGGTGTGTTAAATTTGGTGTTATCGCGCTCACTCTCTCATACTGGTCACTGGAAGTTCAACATGGCACACACACACACACACACACAAACAAAAAAAAACAAGTAGATAGAATAGAATTTTTTTTTTTAATAAATAAAAAAGATACATGTAGATAAAGTAGAATTAAAATAGAATAGAAAGTGCTAGAGTTAGAGGGTCAATAATATATTTATATATACACACACACGCATGCATATATTTCAGAAAATTTTTTATGTTTATATATTAAATATATTTATAATATAAATTATATGAATATAAATATAGACATGTAAATATTTTCAAAATACATACTGTATGTGAGTGTATTTAAATACACAATACATATACACAGTGCACACGCATATATTATGCAAACAAAAACTTGTATTTTGGATGGGATTAATCGCGATTAATTAATTAAGCACACATTTTTTCTAACTACTTATTGCCCAATTTAAATTATGTACATCTGAATTGTTGCAACTATTATTCTTATTATAAAATTAATTTCATTAGTTTAAATTATTTAACTTAGGCAATAAATAGTTTGTAATGTAAAAATAAATGTAAATGCTTGTTTATTTAAAAAAAAAAAAAGGAAAACAATGGCCCAACTCATCTGTCCAACAACTTAAAATATATTTTTAGTATTTTTGTTGCCTACAATGTGCATCAGTTGCAAATTCAGCTGCAAATTTTGCAAAATTAGAACAATTCACTTTAACTGAATACACAATTTGATTAAAATGTTGATTTATTCATTGAAATACATTTCCAAGGCATTATTGTGGCCGCAGAGTAAATTATTGAAGAGACATTGGCAGCAAAGTTCAACGTCCATGATGGCATTTATATTTATGGTTTTTAAATATATGTTAATGCATAAAATGGACAGCCCCTGTTTTTTTTGCCAAGAAAATTAAATGCTGCATCCCAATTCGCATACTATCCGTCCTAAATAGTATTCGAAAATAGAATTAGTATGTCCCAAATCATAGTATGTTTAAGAATGTATGCCAAAGATTCCCGGATGGCCTACTACTTCCGGTTAGACTTCGAAGTGCAGATCGATGTGCACTCTAACGGCTAATACTGCCCACAACACACAGCGCGGTGGACTAGTAGGATTCGATTAGAACTACAAACATGCATAAGAAGTGTTAAACTACAAACATGGCAGATATACTCAACCGACGGACAGGTAGAGAAAGGGATTTGAGTGATAAACAATCAATGTCTAACCTGATGAAAAATATTAATTTAATGTTATCCACATTATATCTCATCTGCAGCAACACTGTGAACTTTTATAATGATACGCTTGGTCATTAACTTTTAAATGCATCATTATGCAAACACATGAGCAGAGTTCTGGGCATGATAGATCCACGACTAGCAGATCAACGTGCCTCTTCATCTCTCTCCAATATGGCAGGAAATCAAATTAAACGAAATGTGGATGTTAACTGTGACAAGATGATTGACAGTGCCGTTTAAACATTCACAGAATGCACGTTACTAAGTAGTATGTCCCAAAGCTTACCTAATATTCTTCTACATACACAAATGTACTTTTATTTTTATTTTTTTGTGACGAAAGAGTACATACTTTTAGAGCATAGCACAAGTAGGCGAATTGGGACGCAGCAAGAGTGTCTCCACTTACCTTGCCACTGCTCTGTAAAATCGTGGTCCTCGTCCGCCACACTCTCTCTCGGCTCACAATGTCTCTGGTCACGTCCACTTCAGCATCCACAAAGCTTCTCTGTTTCTGGGTAATGTCATCGTCCAGGTCAGTCTTGATGGTAGAACGCTTCTTAGCCATGATTTTAGCCTTGATAGCAGCGATCTTCTCCACAGACATGGCTTCTGACAGAGATCTAAGATCAGAAGAATCATACGCTAAACTCATATCTAGGAGAACTAAACAGTTAAGACACGACAAGCTGTGTGTTAGGCACAATGCATAATTCCTTCAATATTGATTGCATTCACTAAACAACACAGCTTTATTGGATTAATATAACAGTAATTACACAAAAACATTAGAAACACAATATTAAAGACGTAATTTTAAAAATGTAGTCCATCGAAAAATGTAAATACTGTCATCATTTACTGTTGTTCCAAACTTGCATGCATAAATTTCTTCAGCTGAACACAAAAGATGATATTTTGAGGAACGTGGATAACCAGACAGTTCTGGGGTCTCATTTATAAAACTCTCCTTAGATTTCATCCTAAAAGTGTACGCATGCACAAAAGCTAGATTTTGAACCTGCGCAAAAATCCCTTTATAAATCCCAGTCAGGGGAAGATTGTGCGTATGTGCATCTGCACCCCAACTCCTCCCCAAAATCACCATATGTGGAGCTTACAACGCCTAGTTTTACTACGCATAACCTCATCTGCATACCATTTCCATGCATATTCCCATCCACGTGACACCATGTTTAACACCGTTAAAGGTACAACACATTAAGGAAATATGAGATACGGTCTATAAATGCCACTTGTGCCATACACATTAATTTTCATTGCTAAAAAGCATCCAGTATATCCTTATGTTTTAGCATAAATATATCAAAATCCATAAAAATCAAAACGGTTTAAAATAGTTCTCAGATAAATATTGCGGAATAGAGTTGATCTCATTCTTTTCCACTGGCCAAATAGAATTTCAAATGTTTTAAACAATTCAAATAAAATAAAATGTATGCAGTTTTGCTGATAAGGTGAACATCTTTTAGCTATTTTTAGCCTATATTTATTGCAGTGTAAATAGAATTGTCTGACTCGGCACGTCACTGACAAAGTAGCCTATTTTAAAAAGAAAACATGCAAATTACCATTTTCTTCAAGTTGTATCCTTCAAATACAGTGGTATTTTTCATAATGTTGTGGAGATGTCTTCACACGACATCAACACCTCTGTGCAGCTGCTCATACTCATATCATTTTTGTTTCACTTCTGCGTAATAACTTTATGTAATTTCAGTGCTTATCTCCATTAATGAGAGTGGAATATTTAATGTAAATGTGTATATGAAATAAACAGATTTTTAAAATCGTTGTTTACTTCATTAATTTTCTCACTCCAGGAAAAACAGTGCGTTCGCATGGTCTAGAATGTCAGTTTATTTTTTTTATAAATCCCGATATGTGCGTGGAAAACTGTGTACGCAATTTCAATGCCCATTTTGTGCGTACGCAACGTTTATAAATGAGACCCCTGGTCTCCATTGGCTCTCTTTATTCAATAGAAGTCAATGGAGAATGAAACTGTTTAGTTCCCAACATTCTTCTAAATATTTTCCTCAGTCATAAAGAACTACTAGCATCACGTCATCTATTAACTTTTTGTACATTGCACATATTTTTTGCTACAGTGTTAATGTTTGATCATACCTGATCTGATCCGTCTGCACGATGCTTTCCTTATGACTCTCGAGACGAGCAGCCAGACGCTCCTTATCCAGACGCACACGCTCTTCATCCTGAGAATCACATGCATAAATCATGAGACGTGTCCAAGCATGTTGCTATTCAGCATTTTATTTTTTATTATTATGTCTCTTACCTCAACCCGAGGCTTTTTTGCCTCTGAAGACACTTCATCTGCTGCCCTTTTAACTGTTAAAACAATAGCAATTTAATGGCAGGTAATGGGTGATCATTCAATTAGAGGCACTTCTGACTACTTTAAATATAGAAAAAATGAAATGCTTATTATGGCCTTTAACGTTTATTTTAAATGACAAGAACACACTCAAATCAAAATAAAGCTCACACCTTGCGTTGGCCTTTGTAAACCAATCTCAATGGGCGCACTTCTGTCGATACTCGTTGATGATGCTGTAAAATTTGATTAAATGACAAACAGGTAAATAATTATGATGTTTTAGTTCAACGTCTGCTATTCCCCATCACACTTACAGCTTTCTCCATTGAGATAGGAGAGCAAGTCTTTTCTGTCGGGTCGTCTTACAACAGGGATGTTCTCTGTCTGTAATCACAAAAACAGGCTCAAGTTTTACTTTCCAACCAGCTGTGCACACAAGCTACATTACAAAAGAAAACCATAAAGATAAGGATATTTCCGGTTTATAGACAGCAAACTAAGCTTTAATTAAAACCTGAATATAAAAAGAACTTGCATTAAGCGGGCTACCGAATTTTGGGAGAGGGAGGGTTTAAATGTGCCAAAATAAAAATAGTAATACACTTTAAAATGTGTGCTGTAAACTGTGCTTTTGTACTTACTGCGGCTCTCCGCACATAGGACGGGTGAGGAAGATGCACATTGTTGAGCAGGAAAAGAATAGAATCAAGAGTGTAGTACTCTTTAGGCTGTCCCTCTTTTCCAGTTCTGTAATTACATTAAATTGCATGTTAAAAAAAATAATAATATAGGCCTACCCTACACACTAGAGGTCGACCGATGTATCGGTTTTGCCGATTAATCGGCACCGATAGTTGATTGCTGGAACTATCGGTTATGGACAAAAATCCATGCCGATAGTTTTCCGGGTTGCGTCCATTGCTGGAGCGGCTGAGAAGGGTCTGCTGTCATTATACAGTGCGAGAGCGGCCTCTAGTGGTTGAAATCACTGACAGCACGTGCTATTTGTTTAGACACGTGATACTGCACGCTGAACAGAGCGGGAAACTTCAGACGCGGATTTAAATGCAGCCGACAGAAAATCCTGCCGCGCCACAGAGCGCCATTCACATCGTTTCCCTTTAAATTACATTATATTGGTCCCGAATTGTTGATAATGTACATAATGAATTGTGTATTTTCAGCAAAACGTTTGTCTTTCTGTGGCTCTAATAAAGTCTGTGCTTCATTTATAGAGCTATAATATAGGTCG